ATTACCATTTGACACGCTTCTGCCTTCGGCTGCCCCCTTGCCTACTGAGTACGCCAGCGATGTCGTTTCTCGAGCCCATGCAGCCCGTCAGCTTGCCCGTGATCGGCTGCACTTGTCGCAAGCTTGCCCGTGATCGGCTGCACTTGTCGCAAGCGCACCAAAAAGACCGCTATGACAGTCGCCACCGAAGCGTGCACTTCTCGCCCGGGTCTCTGGTACTTTTCTGGACACCAAACCACCAAGTCGGCTTATCAGAGAAGCTACTATCACACTACCATGGCCCCTACAAAGTGTTACGACAACTTAGTGACGTGAGCTACGAGATCGCACCCCTAAACAATGCCTCTTCGACCCCCTCACTCCAGACAGACGTTGTACACGTTTCCAGACTCAAACCGTATCACCCTCTTCGTTCGTCGCCGCCGTACTAAGCGCCGTGACGGCGCTTCCGCCGCAGGGGAGTGATGTTACGGTGCATCATCGACAGGAGCAAGTGTGGCACTTAGCGAAGATGAAGAAGACGCCTGTGCGTTAGGCGCTTGCGCTGAGAGGCAACTCAGACATCTTGTTCGGCTGCCGATTCTCGGTGGACGCTATCCTATAAGCCTAGACCTCGCCTCGTCACATTATGAAAGAAGTTAAGTAGTCCCGAAAAATTGGCTGGTGTTTGATTCAGTTAAGCCTGGGTGTGCATTGCGAGAGGTAAGTTTAATCTTATTGTGTGGATTGGTTCTCTGTACGGTTACGCTTCTCAAGGCGTGCGGCTCGTCTTTCCTCCGTCTTCTCGGTTCGCTGCATCGTCTTGGTTTCGTTGCGACGACAAAGCCCGACTTGCTTTTGTCTCTCCGACTCACTTTCCATGTCTGCCGACGAATCTCACCGAGCCGCCCTTTGTACATATACGATGCAACGCCGGCTCCTCCTCGGTTACAACGCGGTTTAACCAGCTCCTCCTTTGACGTCATGCAAGATCGCATGGTGAATGGCGCTGCCCTCTGCAGTGGCTGCTAACCAGCGTCTCAGCTCACGGTGCGGCCACCGGCCACAGCGAAACGAAGAGAATATGGCCAATGTAGCTCTCTCTGCAAAAAGCAAGCTGTATTAAAGAGTCAGCTTTTTGAGCCAGCACTTCCTTCTGCCCCTTCTTGTTTTTTTGTCAAGTAGTTTTTTGTCAAGTAACAGTAGGGCTCAAAGAAACAGCAAGTTGTAAATATATTCTCATTCCACGCCTGATGTATTCAAGCTGGCTAGCTGGCTGAATTTACTGTGAATACAGCGTCATCTTGTTATCGGGATGAAGTCACATTATGCGAGTGTAATTTCTGGTTAATACCAAGAGGTTTTGTGCAACGGGCGCTGATGTGATTGTATTCAGAGTGTGTAAGATTGTAACTTGAATTGCATTTTGTGCTCACATTTTGCATTTAAGAGTTATTGCTGCGTGTCAATTGCTGACACTGCTGTATTTTGTATCATATTATAAGATCGTAATGTACCACATTCTTTTATCATGCACATAATCTGTTTGCTGCCGCCGAATCTGTGAACGAAGCACGAGCCTCTGTCAGGCCTTGGTGCCTTTTGCTCTTGCCATTACTTCTGTAATACATTTACAAAAAATAAATACAGACGTTTTTCTTTCCTTCTTTCTTTCTTTCTTTCCCTCTTTCTATCTTTCCTTCTTTCTTTCTTTCTTTCTTTCTTTCTTTCTTTCTTTCTTTCTTTCTTTCTTTCTTTCTTTCTTTCTTTCTTTCTTAGTGCGCCTTTGTTGATAGACATGCGTATGCAAATCACTCAACTAATAAAATGCCCGGATTGAAGTGCTTACATCTTAGCGAATCGAGGAGGGCTTTAAAACGGTGACAGATCCTTACGACTTAGGAACACGTTCGTGGTCATGGATATGATTGATCGATTTGACTGCGCCGCGATTCCGCCTTCCGCAAAGGGCATTTCAATTGTTGCATGACGCTTACTCAAACATTTACTCGTCACTCTTCTGACGCGTCCCGCATTGCTGGTGACACAGTGCGAAACCAAGCCAACTTATGTCCTTATGTCATACGTCCACTCTGCTGTGCATAGGAACTTGTTCACTTGCGCTACTGGCTATGGAGCGCTACTGACATTCATTCGGGCCACAAGCCTAAACGAAACATTGTAGATGTGTAGTTCACGTGTGTGGCTGTATGTTTTATATGTTTATCACCGTGTATATCATAGTCATCACCCAGGCGCAAAGCCAAACAGACATCTCCAGCTCTCTATTAAAATCTCTCCCATTCGTACCAAAAATTGGATTTTTATTGGGGTATAAAATAATTTGCATGTAAATAGTAGTTGTTAAAATTACGCCACAACGGTCAATTGGGCGAGAATCAGACCTCTTGAACGAGTTATTTGAATAAATAAAACGAAGCGTCGAGCTTCTGACTACGCAATATATATGACAACTATAAAAACTGCGTTTCTTCTTTTGTTGAACATCAAAAGCGGACAAGTGAGGCGTGTACCTCTTCATTCAACACATTGTAACAGCAGTAACGCAAACCGTTACAAGACCAGCAGGAAGGTTCAGTTGCATAGCTCTCCTCTAGATTTAGAGTGCATGGCCCCCTAACCCGCCTCTAACCACAAGTTGGTTTCCTTTTCTAGTCACACTTAGTTAAACTCTAACTTAGTAGATGTACCAAACAGAAATTCTTGGTTTAATAGAAAGCAATATACATAATTACTCTTAGCCAATTTTTTTAAAATCTCAAATCACTCATTCATACGTTTTGTGGCATCAACTTTCATTGCAAAATTGTAAAGTTGCCAAGACTCTTTTCCCTCTTTTATCTTACGGACGGTATTATAAATCATTCATGAAAATCTTTATGAAAAAAAACAACAACTTGTCAGTCCTATCTGTACATTACGCTCAGTAAAGAGATTTATACGCATTGTGTAGATGTTAAGTACTCTGTAATTAATGCTAACTTTTTTAGTGCCGCGAAAGCAGATTATCGATGCTACAGTTTCTGCATTCCGGGCCTGACGTTATCTCGCTTTATCATTGTTCAGCCAGCGCGAAAACTTTGTTATGGTCACTGCGCAATCTCCAAGCCACTCTACGAGCCAGTTTTGGAAAACTCGTGAGTCAGATGTTCAAGACAAATCATAAATTGCAGATAGGGTTGGCTATTATGTGGATATTTTTAAGACACGAAACTAAGTCCCAGTATGACAAAATATCGCGCTAAAGAAGTGAATTTGGCAATCAGCGCCAATTTTCGTCAATTCTTTATCTTTCGTGTACGTATATCTTTTGTGGTGTTCACGCATCTATGGAATACCAACTAACCTGAACAGACACCTGGCTTTAGTTTTTGTCGAATTGAATATTCACAATAAAGCGAAATGATGCTTGTCAGTAGGCAGCAGTCTTACCTTTGCTGAGCACTGCGATGTGAAACTGATAATTATTGTTGGGGTTTAACTTCCCAAAACCAGCATATGATTATAAGACACATCATAGTGAAGGACTCCGCGAATATCAACCACCAAGGGTTCCTTAACGCACGCCGAAATCCTAAATACAGGGGCCTCAAGCATTTCCGCCTGCTACAATAAAAATTCGGCCGCCGCGGCCGCCATTCGATTCCGCATAGGTCAGCAGTCGAGGCTCGAGCACCATAATCACTTACCGAGGCCGTCTGCACAAGTTACCACTTCATCCTCGTGTACAAACGGCCAAATTTGAATCGTGAAATAACAATAATAGAACTGTGTAGCAAATTGAAATTGGGGATCAATACAATGCTTCTCTGAAAGAGCCTGTGCTGGCCCGCCATATATATGCAATGTTTTGGACACAGGAGGAAATATTTTGAAAATGTTTGGAAATTTATTCGCTCGACATTTTATCTAATATCCAGCCTTATAGGAAGTCGACACAGCGCGCCCAGTTTCTTCCACTGTGCCGCCAGTGTTCCCAGTGAGATGCACCCAGAGTCGGTGTAGCAGAGTTCTTTGGACAGCAAAGGCAAGACTTTTTAACAAATTCTGGCCACGTTGGAAACATCAAATTCCATGGACTGTTAATTTGCTGCTAATTCCATTAGTTACTGGCTAAGCTGATCATGCAGCTACAGTTGTGTTCCATGTGAGCTACAATGCTGTGTCCGTGGTTCAAGGGCCCCAAACCTGGACGTTAAATTGATTTATGGATTACCAGTAACTGAAAAACTTCACCAATGTTTGCTATATCGGTGCAGTTTTGCACTGTTCGCGCCAGACTGGGCACGGGGATTTCGCAACTCATATTGGGAACTACTGTGCACACCAACCCAATGCAATGTCGCCAGCGTGTCCGTGTTTGGCAGAGGTCTGAAACACGCGGCCCGCATGTGGCTCTTCGGCCTTTCACGTGTGGCCCGCGGGCTGCACTTGACTGTCTTCATCCATCCTTTTTTCATGGCCTCGTGACTGTGACACCCCTATTAGGTGCTCTCATTGCTTTCTTGCCTATCACGATCAATAACGCTTTGTTCGAGTAAGCTATACAGACTTGACTGATTTTAAGCATTTTTTTTTTTGGTAGAGCACCCTGTGCAATTAACATTTGTTGAAGCATAAACGCGATACACAAGCTCCATACTTCACAATCGGTGTCTATAATTTAGTCATTGTGGATATCAATGTTGATATGTTTATTGGATATTGAGGCCCAATCCCCTTCACAAATGACAGTTATACGAGATATATAGAAAAGGCCTTCTTTTCAAGTGTTTGTTCAAGCCTTCTCCACCCCCTCCTCCCACTTCCAGCTTCTTCACTGCCTCAGCCCTTTAGTGGGACTTGATTTATTGACTGCGGCCGGGTATCTGGTACGAGTTAGAGACCCCTGATGTACGGTAGCTCCGGTTTGCACGGACGGACGCGGCGTGCTTACCTGAGAGAGGTGGCTCGCCCTCTCAGCGGTGGTTGCGAGCGGCGGCGGCCAGAGAGCAGTCGCATGAGAGAACAAACATTTTTACTCGTCGAATGCAAACATAGTCGTGTCGCGTTGAGCGCATCGTCGAGGGGGCGGCGCACAGCAGCGGCGGCGGTCTCTCGTCCCCCCGGGGCGCAGCACAGTCTTGAGCAATCAGTGGCAACTTCCAGATAGTACTTTGAGGTGTGGCCCGAAAGTCGCGCGCAGCAGCATGACATGCCACGTGTGTTTTTGTCCGCCTAGACCTATGGTCCGAGTATATAGAAGAGACTGTACGTATAGATGCTTGGGGGCCCGCTCACGTGGGCTTGCCGCGGTGGATCTCGATGACCTTGTCCTGGTCCACGTACTGGAAGATGTGCGGCGCGTCCAGTAGGATGCCCACGGTGCCCGCCGTGGTGACCGCGAAGAAGATGTACAGCTGCAGCCGGTCGATCACCATGGCCACGTACTTCCAGTCCTCGCGGATCTGCAGAACAGGCACCACATGTCTCAGCCAAGGGGTATACCATTACTGCTCCATTCTGACACTCCACTAGTATCACTTCTCGTGTACGCTGAACAAGTTACACGGGAACAGGTTAGACAGTTTCACAACCAAATATTATTTAAGTCTTTAACCTCTCGAACTTCTTAATTCGTTCAGCATGCTAAGCAAGGATTGGCATTCCAATGGATCTTGAGAAACAAGCCGATTAGCCGATATGAGTTATACTGCCACCATAAACGTTCGCACTAAAGAAAAGAAAAAATAATAAACCAACCGGGCAGTAATACCCAGTTAGCCAAGCTAAATTTTGCAGAGAAAAATCACGATCGAAAGTGCGCTGAGGGTTTTGAGGACAAGACATAATCAACTACAGTTTTACTAAACCTGCGGCGTAGTGGCTGAGGGACTCATATCCCTCAGCCACTGCACTATTCAGGCGAACGAGGACGAGAGGTAATCAACCGTTTCTCTGCATTTCATACGATGCCGCTGCAAGCGTGAGTGATAAGTGAGTGCATGGATGGGTGACAGTCACCTGGGAACCATTGTGATCTTTTCTGAAGCTTTTTTTTTAAGTATGACATACTGTTATGCATGCCAGAGGCAAACGTAGGAATGTTCACTCGACGTGATGACGCTTGTATAAAAGATTGAGCAGGCATTCGGCTAATAAATGCATCGCAAGCATTAGCTGCTTGCTACAACTATTGCATGGCAGCGCACGCCATAAACGAAGATGACACACATGCATAAGCACGATGGATGCAGGGAGGACGCGCTTTCCTCCTCATTACCTAAAGAGTACGGCAATTCTACCCCATACATTTACTCTGTCGGACCTGTCACGTCGTTTCTAATGCTTAGGGTTATGGCTACGCATACTTTTTCACAGTAATGGCGACCAAAGAGCATTGATGTAAGATGTTGCATTCAAAGAACTGTTTAAATGTTGAATTGAAAGAAACCTTCACTCTAGAATGTTGGAATCTAAGTTGCATTCAAAACTTTTCAGCCCGGAACGTTGCATTCAGAGTTGCATTCAGAAAACCTTCAGCCCAGAACGTCTCATACAATGTTACTGTCAAGGAACCTTCAGCCTGGAGTATTGGAATCAAAGTTGCCTTCGAAGAACCTTCAGGCACGAATGTTGCATGCAATGTTGCAATCAAAGAACTTTCAGCATGACAAGTTACCTTAAGTGTTGCATTCTCAGAACCTCAAATTTTACTGAGAGAACTTTCAGCCCGGAATGTCACATACAAAGTTGCAATCAAGGAACCTTCAGTCTGAAATATTGCATTCAAAGTTGTATTCAAAAACATTCATCCCACGTTTAACGTTGTCATGATTGGTTGCGTAAAAACCACCGATTTTTTTTTTTGTCAGGCAAGGTGTACGGCATGCGTGCGAAATGCCGTGCACAGGGAGGTTTAAAAAACGCCCGGCCTGCGCGGAAGGCTCAGCACAGTCACAGCGTAAGCTGGAAGAGCGGCCTTTCAAAGCCTTTTCGAAACACTCATTGGGTAACTACTGCAAGCACACTAGTTTGATACCCACTAGGGCATTATTAATAAAATTTTTGGGTAGTAGGCCGGCATTCGCTATGCTACGTTTCATCATTCTTCCGAGAAGCGTGGTATCCACTAAACACTTGCAAGGAATTTTGTGCCAATTTTTCATGCAGTGGCTGACGACGATAAATAATTGTTGCTGAAGTGGGTATGCGGCACAGTTAATAGGGGAACGAGAACAAGTTAATGTAATGGATTGGAGCATTGGACGGCCCACTCGTTACGCTATTCACATTGTGTGACGACTGCTAGTTCTTTCGCTATTTTAAAACGCTTTATACGTCGTATTAACGCGATTGCTTTCCCGACATCAAGCCTACCTAAGGCGTTTGCCAACAAGTCACAAGCACCAGCGTAGCTCAGTAGTAGGATACTGGGCTGGCACCCAGCGGTCCAGGATTCAAGCCCCACTGTGTCATTGGTGCTAGGTTATTTCTTCTAAATTACGCGCGATGTGGTTACGGACACCGGCGGCGGCGGCGGCGGACAACTGCGCGTGACCCGAGTTGTGATCTAATAACAGCTTTCGCTGTAGAACTTTTTTTGGCATGCATGACACAGCATCAATTGACTGTGCTGACGATCTGTATGATGATGATGATGATTATTATGATGATATGTGGGATTTAACGTCCCAAAACCACCATATGATTGTTTATAAGAGACGCCGTAGTGGAGGGCTCCGGAAATTTCGACTACCTGGGGTTCTTTTGACGTGCACCCAAATCTAAGCACACGGGCCTACAACATTTCCGCCTCCATCGGAAATGCAGCCGCCACCACCGGGATTCGATCCCGCGACCTGCGGGTCAGCAGCCGAGTACCGTAGCCACTAGACCACCACGGCGAGGCCACGTATTGTATGTCATACTATAACAACGTAACAAATTATGCGAAAGTAGGTGATCTACACATATGCTAAATGCAATAGCTCCAGCTCCTTCCATATCTTTTCATCTCATTTGTACATAAACCCCTTCCTTCGTAACATTTATTAACGCAGTACTGTATATATGTATGGGGATAGTCTACATGTTACTGTCTTTATATACTAACACTCAAGTAGAAATGGGTAGCCGTCGCCAAGAAATGGCGACGACTCCTTCATAAACTTTTCTATTAAAAAAAAGCCGAAAGCCACTTATTCTGCATGCCAAAGTAAACCATCAGCAAAATCACAGCGTGAGCACGAAACAGTACAAAACCATGCCCTTTGACAACTCGCAAACGGGCTCGAAGAGCGCAATCTAGGCGTGTGCTTCGGCTTTAATCAATTCAATTAAGCTTTGTTGCAGGTGTTCCCTGAGGAACCTTCAAGAACGTTCGCGTAACTGGCAAAATGCCGTTTTTGTGTACCGATTGGTGTAGTTTTAAATCCTGCACGAAATGCAGCTCCACTATTCTGATACATGAATGTTTTGTGAAACCCCTGTGAAGGCTATTTAAGTTTCGATGTCTATGACTTGTGTCATATAAAGGCAGACGTTCGTGGGACGGAAAGTACGCAGGACCAAGTGCATTTGTCTATAGCTAATTACAAACGTAGTTACACCGGCCTACCTTCAACAAGATTCTTCCGAGTGTCAACTGCTCGAAACGGGATTTAACACTGCAGGTGTATACTTTTTGGAGCCCAGGAAAAATAAAGAGCAATCGTAGAGGAAAGCAAACTTGTAGCAATATAGGAGCACCACTGACGAATCATTATATAGGTGACCCATGACCACTCATCTGGTAAAAACACGAACGGCAGGCGTCGTATACAAAAGAGGTATTTACTGTAACAAACTATACCACTGCCAAGGAAAAAAGAGAGAAAAGAAAGCACCTGAATGTACTCGTCCTCGCAGCGTAGATGCTCGGCGATGAACTCGATAGCCTCGGTGGCACGGTACGCCTCGGGGCTGAGGTAGAGCACGTCGCCCGCGGCGGAGTCACGGCCGTCCACCGAGTCCCGGCGGCCAGCGGCCGGCGCGGCGGCGGCCGCCTTGCGCGTGCAGTTCGGGTGGTGCACGTCGGCGAGCTCGAGGCACTCGTGCTTGCCGTGCTTGGCGGCCGCGGGCGGCGGAGGGGGCGGCGGCGGCACGGCGGGCGTGCGCTGTGGTGGGCGGCCGCGGGTGGTAGTGGTGCATGCCGACGCCCGGCATCTCCATCATCCAGCGCAGGCGCGTCTTGTGCGGCCGCTTCATGAGCAGCATGGCCGGCAGGTACTTGAGGAAGAGGACGCGGATCCAGTTGGGCATGCGGTGCGTGCGCGGGCCGCGGAAGTTCCAGTTGATGATGATCACCGTCACCAGGATCGACATGGTGTTCATGAGGAAAGTGAATAGCAGGTACTTGGCGATCAGCGGCAGCACCAGCGACGTGGGCGGCAGGATCTTGGAGACGAGCAGGAGGAAGACGACGAGCGAGAGCAGGATGGAGATGCCCAGCGTCACCTTCTCGCCGGCCTCGGCCGGCAGGTAGAAGACCAGTATGCAGAGGAACGAGATGAGCACCGTGGGCAGGATCAGGTTGACCGTGTAGAAGAGCGTCTTGCGGCGGATGGTGATGTAGAAGGAGATGTCCGTCTCCGTGGGCCGCTGCTGCTTGCTGTTGTTGTGCCGGTTGAGGAACGCCGGAACCTCCACGATGTCCCAGGTGCCGCTCTTCCAGTAGTCGGACAGGTCCACCCAGTAGTTGTCGTTATACAGCTTTAAGGACACTTGGTCGCCGTTGAACGTCCACGAGCCGAACTTCATCACGCACTTCTGCTGGTCGAACGGGAAGTACGTCACGTCGATGGTGCACGAGCTCTGGTAGATGGCCGGCGGCACCCACATCACCTGGCCGCTCGGGTAGATGAGCACGTTCGACTTGTAGCGCACCTCGTAGTTGCCGTCCGCGCTGCGACCATTTGTATCACGCTTTTTGCTTCCCGTCCCACACACACATTACACAACGCCATAGTACTGCGCTGTGTATAAACTCGCACTATTCATAATCGAACAAGCACAAGAGACTGCCGCCGTATCAGGAGGATAGGCAGCCGGTCACATATAACGAACCGGTCACATACTGACCTAGATTAGTGACTTAAGATCATCAGTTTGCAGGAAAGTGGCCACTACGCAAAAAGCTTCCTCGTATCTTCTCGAGAGGCATAGCTGCGCAGAGTGTTTCTGCGAAAATACGGTTGCTCCTGGTCAGGTGCGTATGCTACTCTCGCGTTCTCGCTTTTCGCCGCAACGCCCTGATGTAAAGAACTATCGCCATGTCTTTCATGGTGACTGTTCGCGTAACACAGCGCGTGCGTTTCCGGAAAATTAACTCACTCCTCTTTCGGCGTATATAGACACGTTTTATCTGTAGTGGCTGCTTTTAGGCTAATAATTTTAGACCTCTTTAGGCCTTCATTGGAGTTTCTTGGAAACCACGATGGTTGAAAATGAAATATAATCTCAAGCAAGCCATTCAACTTGAAAAATAGCGTAATAGTTTATATGTTTATAGTGTCCAGTTAGCCTAGGGAAACACAGTGAGTTATATTGAATATGTGTTATCTGTTTGAACTCACACAAATCTGTCTTTGTTTGTTGGCGACAGCATCAATCTTAGTTGCTGAGGATAAGGGAAGTCCGTGACCCACGTGAAACTGTCTTATAAAAGATTAATGCCTCCACTTGAACGTTGGGGAAAAAAAGCCATCAGTACTACGTTTACTATTGCATGCATGCGTGTCAGAGCTAACAGGGCAGAAAGATGAATATACTGCCTAGGCCTTCCGAAACTTTGTGCCCCAGACATTTGGAAGCAGAGACGCAGTGGTGTCGCCTCCCCTCCCTTCCTTATTGTCCAATCTGAGTAGGAGTAGTAGTATCATCCACAGAATTAACCAATAACTCTTCGGTTTGCGATGATCATATAGCTGTATTTGACGGGACCAATAGAGTTCTTGAACGTAATCTATAAGAAAGATTGGAAGCAAGAGACTACAATGCAGACCAGAGTCAGTAACAGAAATAAGTTTTTATGTCATACTTCGCGTGGGTGTAGCACTCTACTGTGTCGCTTAGTAATTAGTCGTCGGACTGGGCTATGTTTGAAATATTGCGAATAAGGTACAAATAAAAACGCCAACGTTAAACAAAAAAGAAAAAAAACGACTAAACTTGTTCTTACAACAAAAAACGAATGAACGCCCAAAAACGAATACACACCCGCTTATACCCGCCTGGCTCATGCGCAGATAACCATTCATCACAATTACCAAACTTGTATTCTTCCTATAGACAGAAAGTTTTGTCTTCCTATTTTGGCATTTGGGAAATTCATAGAGGCACAACGACGCACCTCTTCCCCAGTTGTTTTCTCTTTGTGTGCGTGGACCACAATTTCTCGTTCGATATTCGGTTTTCCTCAAATAAAATACCTGTGTGGCCAAACGCAGGTGTGCACCAGCGCTTTTTGCAACGGATCGGCAGAACAGCCACATCCGTTGAAAGAGGAATTGCCTTCTTAGATGCGATAATTTGTGCACTAGCCAGTGTAAGTTTGGATGTACACGTACGATAAAAGATTGCGATAAATCACGTGTCTCTCATTAATCTATTATCTTCGTTTTTCCTGTGCTTTCCGCTGCTGCTTTGTTCATTTTTCTTTAGTTTTTTTTTTCCCTTTTTTGACGTGTCAAGTTTCACGGAGCCATCTTGAACTACCAAATGAGACAACGTCGTCGTCATCATCGTTTTCACACACGCGCACACACACGCACAAACACACACACATGCACGCACACTCACACACAGACGCACGCACGCACACGATGCTTAAGAGCACTAGACGTAGTGTTCGCTCACTTGTTGAAGAGCACGATGTCCGGCTTCCAGACCTTGTCCGGAGGCAGCCGCAGCACCGAAATGCCGCCGTAGTCCGCCTCGTCCCATTTGAGCTGGTAGTCGGTCCAGACCTGCAGCGACCACGCCTTGCTCGAAGGAGATGTCCGCGCATGCGCAATGACATGCAGTGTATACACGCACTTACCAGCTGCAGCCACACGTTGGACGTCATGATTTGATTCTTCTCGTTCTGAAAACACGAAAGCGGAGGGACGCCACTGTGTAGTGACGCCAGCGGGATAAATGCGCGATTTTTAAATTATGGTTGTTCACTGCTGGAAATAAAGAGAGATTTGTGAGCCACGCTGCAGTGTGGTATACTCCGTGGAAGTTTTGTCCGCATGAGGTTATCTAACGCGCATCTAAATCTAAGTACAAGTTTACAGTTTACGTTTGGCCACCGAGGCTAACGTAACGTTTGGTTGCCGAGGCTAAAGTTGGGCCGCCAAGGCTAACGTATTTGCTTACAAGCTATCCTGTCATATGCCACTATTGTAACCCGGTGTGAATGCCTGTACCACAACTTCTGTAGACCATTTAAACACGCTCCTGTGAAAATATCTAATGGATGCGACAGCATCACGCAATGCATAAATAAATTGATAGCTGCGATGAAAGCAACGCGACAAGGTGACAAAAAAAAAATCAAGGAACGAAACAACTCGAGTGCTGATGAACAACTGTCTGCAAGTTTATTGCAATAGAAAATGCATATACCAAGCAAGAAGAACTAGAAAGAACTTTAACGGTCACATGATGAGAGTGATGAAGGCAAAAACGAATGTCCCCCACGAGTCAAGCACAATTCCACAAGAGAAAAACTAAGTGTACACTTTAAGACGCGCGACTCGTGCTGTTTTCAACGCAGTAACGTGCATGTGCCAACTGACATTACAAGCCCACTAGGCATTTTCGAACCAGGATATTGTGATGAGGCGCGATGTGATTATGATGTCATCGTGGACGGCTCTGGAAACGTGTAACGCCCGGTGTTTTTTTAACGTGCACCAACATCGCACAATACACTAGCATCTAGCATTTCGTGCCATTCGAAACGCGGCCGCCACGGTCGGGATCGAACCATCGACTTTCAATTGAGCATCCGAGCACCGCAACCACCGCTGCGGATCTTAGATTCAATCACTCGCGGCGGAATACGTTATGCGGGAAGTGCACAGTCGCAAAACCTTTCGAGGTTTATCCGCGTTCTAAAACTCCGTCAAGGGGCCACAAACATAGGCCGAATTGGCAAAACTCCTTTTTCGTGAAATCGTTTTCCCGCGAGCCATCCAGTTTTACTTACGAAAGGTTTGGCATCGTGATTGACTAAGGTATTATCTCAGTTTAAAAAATATCAGCGCAAGGAAGGAAGGAAAACGAAAGAGAGGGAAGGCAGGGATGTTAATCATCTTGGCATAACCAGTGCGCAACCCTCGCGCATGATTTTATTTTTATGAATACGGGCCTTTATCTTTAACGCCTTTTCTGCGTTTCGATGATGCGCCCACCTCATAAGCGCAGTTAATGATGCTTGAGTGACGTCTACAGCTTGCTCTTTAAAACTTTTGCCGGCTGCTTACGCGCTGTTCGGTCACGCTAATCAGATTGGATTCCGGAATCGACTAGTGTTCCCACGGGGGCCAAATGCAGAAGCGCTAGTGCCCTTTAATTAGCTTCTTATAAAGGATCGAATAATAAAAAGCTCCCAGTATATCAACTATTTCGATTACCATGGAGTGCCTCCCCATTACGTAATGATTACTCTACTTAAAACATTAGACTTTATTAATTTGTTTGAAGATGCGTCCGTTAAAAGTGGTACGACATGAGACAAATTTGAGACGGGACCTCACTGAAATTATCCAAGCATGTATGAGGATTAATCCCCAGCTATGTACCGACACATCGAAGAAATGCCAAAAGTACTGTAAGTTTAGGTATACTAAAAAGATCAGTTTTTGATTATGTTAGGGCAACTGCTTGTAATTTTTAGAAAAATGAAGAAAATTCACTAGACGTGTTTGATTCGAGACATCAACTTGGGCGACAAGTTTCGAAAGTTAGATGCATCAACGCTTCACCCGCAGTGCATTTCTTGCGGTTGCCTTTACGGGTGCAATTGGAATAGCAAAAGTAACCTTTTAAATGCAGTGTATATGTGACTGTGTAATCGCTCATGCATTTCATGATCTTTTATGACACGACAAATAGTCCAAAGCACGTTACTAGGAACTACACCCAACTGGATGAAGAAGCTGATCTCCCAAACGTACGGATACATTCATTATATTCAGTGGAACAAAATTAACGGGCTGTGTAATTGTTATAACTTCATTTATCACATAAAAAGCTGCTTCTGCAAAGCATGTAAAACCGTAGAGAGGGCGAAGTTTTATGAAAATGTCTATATTCTTAAAGCGTCGTTGACGAAAACTAGAAAATCATATTCGTATCGTTTTTCAGAGCCTAACACAACGTTACAATTTGACCTCCAAAATCTCAACAAAGATCATCATTTTATTCTCTGTCTCTAATGAGAACAGTTCTCAGAAGACGAAAAAAAAAGAAGCTGCAAGTAGTCCGTTGTACTCTGCAATAATTTTGTTGGCGTCTTTTCGTTTACACTAAAATCAAGCACTGCCCATCGAATTAGGTCAACTGCGTCAGTCAAAAGCAAAAAAAAAAATCTAAACAGATCGAGAGTGAGTCAAAACCCCCCCCAAAATTCTAAACAGATCGGGAGTGACGTTGTGGGTGTATACGCACCACGTTGATGAGCTGGATGAATGACAACCCAAACTGCACTTCCACCGTCATGTTCATTATTTCCACGGGCCGGATCAGCTTGTTGTAGTCCCGAAAAAGATCTCGCACCAGCCGCTCCTCGTCTTCAGATGCCAAACACTGGGAACAGAAACCGGGACCTAGTTTAAGGATCCATCCCGTAAAGCATTCATACGTAAAAAAAAATTAATGCATCCCACAACTGCACCACCACAATGTGTAGAAACAAAAAAAAAAGAAAGATATGACTGGAAACTGCGCACACCACCAAGTATTTTATTTTTTAAAGAAGCCAACAACTTCATAAACAAGTGAGGTACAACTGCGCCATATATATTCATAAAATATTGAAAGCATGAGATACGGCCATATTTTCTTCCTAGGCGCATACATCCAATCTTGCTGTCTGTCACACGATTCACGAAATGGGTGACTACCACATGTGTAAATGCTAAACACTCTTGTTAAAATGCCCGCACACAAAAAAATTAAATAAAAGCAGTGACCAGCGAAAAAGATAAAAAAGTATACCTCCAGCCAAAACGATCAACTCTGTCAAATGGTGATTGCGTCTTTGTATACATATATATATATATATATATATATATATATATATATATATATATATATATATATATATATATATATATATATATATATATATATATATATGTACAAATTGTTTTATATATACGTGGTTGGATCAATAAACAAACATTATAAAGCGTCCTGATGAACTCGATTATCACGCAGTGAGCCACTCCCACGTTATCAGTACGCAATACCTAAAGAAATGGCAGACCCTTAAGGGCCTTCAACAGAGTTCAACGCTATAGCGATATCCTGTCCCTACCGCGCGTAATTTAAGCACGAAGTGATAATTTATTTTTACTCTATGATGTTGCCGAGTAGTTTAAATTGTGGGTTGCTACAATGCTGTCGATATAGTTGAAGGTGACTTGCATGAGTGATTGGATTGGATTGGATAAACTTTTATTTTGCATGAGTGAAGCTTTCGCGTATTTCTGCGTTTGGTGTGATGCGCAGCGGGCTTGAAACCGTGAGCAATGATGCGCGTAGAATACTCACGAGCTTGCTACGCACCCTTTTGTAATGGGTGACGGGCTTTAAAAGACGAAGTCGTTACGATAATCACCTGTCCTCACGCCCGATGGCAATGTACGCTTGTACCACGCACTGTTATTACTGCGACATTGTGTAGCCTGTATAGCGGACGCGTGGGTTCGTAAAGCATCAAAGTATTTTCACTACATTCGCAAGCAAAGGAAGTTATTCTCACGGTATTTCTAAGCAGTCGCGTGGCTGTGTGGTATAGAACACCTGTTTTACACGCAATCGGCCTGGATTCGATCCTCACTTGGACACGGAAATTTCAATTATTTCTTTCATTTGCATCTTTCTCAATGATTCTGTCACGGACAAGATGATGACACAGAAGATACATGGGAGTCCCTTGTGCATATCACTGACTCGGCACAGCAACGCCGGTTAATCTCACGCGCATTGGAGGCCGCGGTGTCCCAATGGATCACCGCTGACCTCCTCTAGGCAGCGTGACCGACCTCTCGGCCGGTACCCTCTTTTGGGAGTAATAAAGTTTTGATCATCATCGTCATCATCATCGCTCACAACCAATGACGCCGACGTTGGAATGTCTGCGACACGAGCTCTTTAAAGGGGGCACTGCCACACTTTTTGAACATGGTCAGAAAACACTGCCTATCGGTAGTAGAGGATCCCCTGAACACGCGAGCCAAATGTTCTAGCGCAGCACGCGGCCTGGAATTCACAATAAATTATCAAAGTCAGCTCGAAATTGCTTTCTCTTCCATCGGCAAATGACGTAAAACGCTGAAAACCACACGTAGATTACCCATCTATCAGTCATTGACTGATTTCAACATGGCGCGCGTGTGTTAAAAATGTCGCCGCGAGAGGTAGTGATCAAGGTCACAAACAAGTGTTCAAGGTCACGAGGCGCGCGTGACGTTTTTTTCTGCCCCTGCCGTCCCTCCCTGCTTAGCTTCCAGCGCTTTCGTCGAGACGAGAGAAGAGAGGATGCGATTGCAGCGTGTGACAAATCTTCGTAACTCCACTCGTACTTGACGGATTTTAAAATTCTTTGCAGCATTGAATTTGTGAGTTACAGTGCTCTTGCAGTGATTTAATTTTATAGTTACTCAAAAAGCGTTCCAGGGCCCCTTTAACGCTCTCGCGTTCAAAGATACAGCGCTCTTGTCGTGAAAGTGGTGGCGCTGTTGGGGCAAAGCGATATGTGGTAAGATGGTGCTTTTTACACTCTTTCCTTCTTTTTTACAGATTGGTATTTGGGCTGATAGCATCTGCAGTTTTAGTAGCTTCTCTTGTAAACACTAGGACGCAAGATAAATGATAGCTTCTTGCGAATCAGAAAACACTAAATTTGACTTCACGCAATGAAGGTCTCAATAAATATACTCAGAACTGTCAATGGTGCAAGAAACTAGGCGAGCATGAACAGTGAAGAAAAATTAGTGCTTGCCACAAAGAAAAAGAAACGGTTTCCGAGCGAGCGCACTATAGATGGGCAGCGCACAGCGCTACATCTATCTGAGAAAGGTGTCATCACCTCACTAGGTCCGCCCTTCGTACAACATCAGAACTGCGGGCCGCACTGCATCAGCTTGTCAAGAACTTGAGCAACTATCGGAGAGTTCGAGAAACCAGACTGTCCTTGAATATTGAGAGGACGACGCGAACAATGCAAATGAGCAGGACGTTTTCAAGGGCCTCTTCGCCATGAAATCTGTCAGTCTTATAGAGGAATCTACGACATCGTATAATATCGAAGCTTTCACATCACATCTTCTTTTCTGATTATTGGCGCAAGGCTTGTTTACAGAGTATACAAATACATGCTAATGAACCCGCTTCTCAGGAAGTCTGAATACGTCCTCTTACTATTCAAACAAGTCGTGAGTGGCTCGCTTGTAAAATAAACGGCAGTTCAACAATCAATATTGCTATATTGGGCAATACAGCTTCCTCGCGGGCTTGCATGCCTTTGGGTGAAGGATAATTAATATATTATAGGTGTCATATGATTCAGAGGTATGTCGTAGTGGAGGTCGCCGAAAATCCCGACTGTATATAGGATTGTTTAACATGCACTTAAATCTAAGTACACAGGCGTCTGGCACTTCGCCTTCGTCCGATTGCGTCGACCGCGGTGAGAATCGACCCCGCGACTTTCAGGTGAGCAGATGAGCACCGCAATCATTGCACCGCCGCGGCAGCCAGGTTTGAGAATCAGGAAAGTACGTCGTGTAAATAGCAAAATTGGTTATATTTTTTTGCGTATTTACCACCTTTTATGTCTTATGTTCCTGTTGGAGCATTTCTACAGTCGGACACAACTTTAGAAGTCAGCGGCATTTTCTCCTCGCAAGAAGATGCACACAATGCCGGCACCAACGGGTGCGCCCTCCAAAGCAACGTCATGAGCCCGACAGCCGGCGACTCCGCCTTCGAAGAACTTTGCGGAGTGCATGAGTGGGACTATTTCTTCACTCGCGGAGGCGATCGGCTGACGCGATTCGGTATCCCGGGTGGGGGCCTCTACGGGCTTCTCAAGCTATAGCTTAATTACCTGCTATACGCGCTGCAGATTGTAAAACGTCGCGTCTATACGCGGAGCGTAGCCATCATGCATTGTGAGGGTTACCGGATGACTCGCTTCTCAATCATGTGGCTATAGTGGTACTTAGCGCTCTGTCAATGTCGCCGGCCAATGCACGCCGCCAGCCATATTTGTGTGCAAATTAATATGCTTGCGCAAGCGTCATCGACTCGCCTTCGATTTAAGCCCAACGCAGCCACTTCTCGTTTTGACGAAACACAACGGTGTGACCAAACTGCGACGTGCGAATGTGAACGTTTGACCAAAGGCCTCACTGTTCTGTACCGTTTCTTTGAGTGAACCAGCTCTGGGCCACGGCGTGTATTTTTAGCTGCTCGATCACTTGCTCCTTCCAACGCAGTCATTTAAGAAAAAAAAGAATATGTACGCACTGCTTAGTCAAGCTTGCTGCATTCGTTTTATCAAAATCGTGTGTTATTTTGTAATATGAAACTGTTTTGGACGCTGCTCTCCCATTTTCTCTTTTTGAACCACGGAAAGATTATGCGAAGTCGTTCTGGTACCTCGAAAGCTGGTCCCACGATTTAAGAAAATTATACAAGCTACTAATTCAAACGGACCGCGTACGGTGAGGAGATGAAAATCTTACAGCGAGAGAAATATCGTATATGAAGGTAAAGGGATAACAACAATGGAGAGAAACAAAGCGAGAGCGATAGTATGGGAAGAGGGAAAGAGATGTTTCAATACGCGTGGACGTATCTTTGTCATTATGACGACATCATTTCGTCATTGAGACAGTTTTACTCGGCTCAAACGAAGACGTAGGATTCGGCGTTAAAACCATCGATTCATTATCTTCCACACAAATCTACTTTGCTTTGTGGAAGCATTCGTCGTGCCCCGAATAACTTACGCTGTTCTGTAGGCACTACTGAACGTGATGAAGTTCGAGAAGATAGACACAATAATCAAATAGGCGCGTTAACTAACAACGGGTTTACCTATCGGTACTTCCACGGAACTCCTACTCTGGCTAGGAGAGTGATCGAGTAAAATAATAAATTGAAAGAAAGGCAGGGAGGTCCGCCAGAATTGTAGCATCCGCTTAGCCACGCTGTTAGCACCATTCAATACGGCAAAGACGCTGATGGAGGCATTTTTATCGAGCTATAGCGAACATTACTCGAGCGGTCTCGGAAACGGAGAGGTTCATCTTCTCGCACCTTAAGGGCTCCCTGCCCGGCTTAACCAACCGATCTCTTCAGACTGCAAGCCTCCCCAATGACAATCTACAGCAGCATCACACCTCCGACACACCACAACATACATACTCCGCACTACAAGCTGCAAAGGGAGGGAGACCCCGACTTATGCCACTCACAAAAAACACGGTTGGCAACCCTGTGCAGCCTACACAGGTGCAGCGCCTTATCGTGGAGGAGTGGTCATAGCAGCCACCATAATCGTCAATAACG